GTTGTGATCCAGCTTAAACTTATATGGTTTAAACAAGATATGTGTTTACTTTGAACTAATATATTCTGACTCTATATCAAGGTCAGCTTATTTAGCTAACATATGAGGTTTCATCATGACTGACAGGAAGTAGGACAGTTAAATTCATATAAAAACGAACCACGTGAAATTGATATTAAGATGTTTATATTGAGTTTATACTTAAATAGACATTGGGGTATTCATGACCGTTTTACAGTGTAAAACTTAGAACTGTTTATTTTTTTCTACAGTTGTGATCTTCCACAGTGGTTTTGGAATCCCAGTTTTCTTCAGTGTAAATTTTGCAAAATGAACGCATCTACTAACAATTGGCAAAACAAAAGTTAATTGCCTCACATTTAGTTCCATTCGTCCTGTCACTGAAAGCCGAGTCTTTGATATATGTATAAAGGTCTACTCCTCAAGGCAAACCTGTAATAACTTTATTATTTTTTTATTATTCTGTCATTTAACCAGACAAATCCCACTGAGATCACAGATCTCTTTTTGTAAGGAATACCTGGGCCTGAAGGCAGCCTATTGTTCATATATTTTGGGTGACGGGGAATCGGAGTACCCAGAGAAAACCCACACAAGCACAAGCACAATATGCAAACTCAGCACAGAAAGAAGCAGGTCCGAACCAGGAATCGAGCCCGATTACATCAAAAACATATGTGTGTGTATATATATATATATATATAATCTGTTTCGTTAACAGTGAAATATATTGTATTAATAACAGTGAAATATATTGTATTAATAACATGCTGCAACCACCCCCAAACAATGTTGCAACTGTCCATGGGGTCAGTTGCAACATCTGACTTTTCACTTTCAAATGCACTTTGTGAGGGCTGCTCCGTTCTTTAATCATCTATAAATAGTTTTGACTATTAACAGAAAGATGTAAGTTATTGTATAAAAATTTGTTTTGTCTAATCCAAACCATCTCTGAGTAACAGTCAAATGYAAAAAGTGTTGCAACTGTCCTCGGTCTCCCCTACATGTAACGAGTACTAAGTGTATAACCTGAGTGTATTTCTTGTGCAATCTGAGTGTACTCACCAAGCAGCAGCTGTATCTTAGCTGATCTGTCACTGATGAAGATGAAGAGCAGAAACCGAGCCCCTCTGTCTGAAGGCTGAGTGCAGCTTTTATGCCCCGCCCACTGGGAGGAGCCTGTTTGAAAGACTGCTGTTGTCTCTATAGAACATGAAGTCAGACAGAATCACAGCTGAACATGTTTCAGGTAACACCAGGAGATAATGGAAAAGGTCGGGAAACACCTGGACGTAAGATCTCCAGACTTTCAGTGTTGTGTTGAGCTTTAACAGCCAACTTGTGGTGGGTAGTGGGGGGATTAAATAATTACATTTTTAGGACCTTTGTTCCCTAAAAACACAATCCCTGTACAGAAACAYGATTTTTAAATATCTTTAAAAAGTTGGACTGACAGAAAATAGAATTATAGCAACAAACTGAAAACTGAAAACTGTGTAGTTGGTTACCGACAGCAAACTCTGGGTAATCAAACATGAGAAACTGGATATTTTTAATAAATCCAAACCATGATAGAACCTCCTCAACGATCACCAGTGAGGAAGATGTTTTATAGTTCATGAAAAATGGGCAACATTTTATCAGTTTTTCTTCACTGATCAATTAAATAAACTCTTTAATTAAACTCATCAGAGTTGGTTCATCTCAACAGTCAGTTCATCTCATCAGTTAGTTCATCTCAACAGAGTTAGATCATCTCAACAGAGTTAGATCATCTCAACAGAGTTAGATCATCTCATCAGAGTTAGTTCATCTCATCAGTTAGTTCATCTTTTCAGAGTTAGATCAGCTCAACAGAGTTGGTACATCTCATCTGAGTCTGTTAATCTCATCAGAGTTAGTTCATATCATCAGAGTTGGTTCATCTCACCAGCTAGTTCATCTCACCAGAGTTGGATCATCTCATCAGTCAGTTAATCTCATCAGCTAGTTCATCTCATCAATTAGTTCATCTTATCAGAGTTAGTTCATCTCATCATAGTTGGTTCACCTCTTCAGAGTTGATTCATCTCATCAGAGTTGGTTCATCCTAACAGTGTTGGTTCATCTCATCTGAGTCTGTTAATTTCATCAGAGTTAGTTCATCGCAACAGAGTTGGTTCATCTCATCTGAGTCTGTTNCATCCTAACAGTGTTGGTTCATCTCATCTGAGTCTGTTAATTTCATCAGAGTTAGTTCATCGCAACAGAGTTGGTTCATCTCATCTGAGTCTGTTAATCTCATCAGAGTTAGTTCATCTTATAAGAGTTGGTTCATCTCATCAGTTAGTTAATCTCAACAGTGTTGGTTCATCTCATCAGAGTTGGTTCATCTCAACAGAGTTGGATCATCTCATCAATTAGTTAATCTCATCAGCTAGTTCATCTCATCAATTAGTTCATCTCATCAGAGTTGGTTCATCTCATCAGAGTTGGTTCATCTCATCAGAGCTGGTTCATCTCAACAGAGCTGGATCATCTCATCAATTAGTTAATCTCATCAATTAGTTAATCTCATCAGTTAGTTCATCTCATCAGAGTTGGTTCATCTCATCAGATTTGGTTCATCTCATCAGAGCTGGTTCATCTCAACAGAGTTGGATCATCTCATCAATTAGTTAATCTCATCAGTTAGTTCATCTTATCAGAGTTGGTTCATCTCATCAGAGTTGGTTCATCTCATCAGAGTTGGTTCATCTCATCAGAGTTGGTTCATCTCATCAGTTAGTTCATCTTATCAGAGTTTTCATCTCTTCAGTTAGTTCATCTGATAGTTGTTCATCTTAATAAAGTTGTTTATCTTGTTTTTTTAACGTTAAACATGAATAAGTTTAGCGCCATCATTTTGACTTGAGTAACTCTGCTGCTGCTGTGGTAGCAAAAATCTKTAATCACACGCAGGACTCAGTAGCAGCTAATGAGGGAGTTTATTGACTGCATGGTTCTCAGACAGTCAGGACTTAAAAAGATCAAGAACCCTGTAAAACAGGTCTTGTGGATTTTATACCTTCCTTTCTGTGTTGACGAAATTTATTGGGGTTTGTTTACTTACTGATTTTTAAAAGCACCCCACATTATGTAGTTTTTCTTGGGTGAAACATACATATTTTTAAACTATTGTGTGAATATTTTTAAGATTAAAATGATGATTTTATTTACAGACTGGTCTGGATGGCTAGACAAAATGATCACTCAGAGCAGTTAGATACATGCGTGAAAACATTTACAACATGTAAATGTTTTTACATTAGAACTCAGTTTTCTCTATTCTCAAAGGTTTCTGGTCACATGATAAGGAGAGCCTCCATCAATGTGACAGCTTTCCTCTAAGGAGTGGCCAGGACCTGAAGGAGTTGTTGATGCTGAAACTTCCTGCCTGTGGCGTTCCACGAGGCTATTAGCCTAGCCGATGGGTAGTTTGTATGGCTTCGGTTCTTACATTAACATTCAAATCTTAATTCTGTCTTTGTTGCCTTGTCCTTTACACACATCTGAGTAACTGAACACGTTATATTTTACAATGTCATCTGACCAAACCTTAGCCAAGATTCTTGAGAGCTTCTCAAACACACACACATTAGGAAACATTTTACCAGGTCACGCTGACAACTCCTAAGCTCCTTCCTAGAAACTTTTTGATAATACTTTTCCCGTTCTCTATGCGGACCCCGCTTCCTCTGTTGTAAACGAGCACATAAATTGTAATGCACACTAATGACAGCAAACTATTGAACWCTGTGTCTTTACCACTGACCGTCCAACTATTTGTACTTTCCTAATCTTCCGGAACCAAATAGGAAGTTGATTGTCACAGAGAGAATCTGGCAGAACTTTCTGGACTACAGAATTAGGCTTCCTGTTACTCAATGAACCTGCCACTTCACTGCAAATCTGTTTTATATCATTTTTGTTACTTTTTTGTGTTTTATTTGACGTTTTTAGACTCTGGACTGAAAGCAAAGCTGTGGAGTTCTTTTTTTTTTTTTTTTTTTTTTTTCAAGGGAACGGGCCTGTGTGATGGTGTAATGGTGGAGCTGGATGACAAGCATTTATCTCAGCCCAGACCATGAAAAGCTCCAGTGTGGGTCAAGCAACAATGAAACAACAAGCTTCAGTGTGACAACAAACAAAGAGCAGAAGAGGACAGCCACAAGTCTGTTCCACACAGAAGATGTTTGTTTGTCCTCATCAGGCCACTCATGAAACATTCATTTAAACTTGCCTCTTCTTCATGTCCACTTTCTGCCCACAGACATGATGACCTGTCAATCAGCCAGAAAATATTTTTAAAAACATGCAGAGAAACTAAAAACCAATCTGAAACAAACACTGTCACATTCTGAAGGAATCAACAGTTTTAACTCTTTAAAACACTGAATCATTTCATCACATGAAAACCAGATAAGATTCAGGAACCATGGAAACCAAGACTGTTGTTTTACCTGATATAAAACTTAACACCTTTTTTATTATTGTTGTTGTAGTTGTTACTGAAACTATAATAATTTTTTTTTATTTATACTCGTGTCTGGGTAAGGTTTGTGTTGATGCCCTCTGGTGGTCAGAGTCACAAACTGCAGCTTCAGACTTCTCTGAAATGTCTCACTCATGAACTTTATCAAACAGGAAAACTTTTTATTTCAGAAAGTGTTAGTAAACTTGACATTTGACAATGATGTTTCAGTAAAAATGTTTCCTAGTTGATGTTAGAGCGTCTTTTGATCAGGTGAGCCAAGACTGGATTGATTCCATCTAATCTGTGATGACCTTTGGTCAGGAATAAGTTTGACAGGTACGCTTGGGACAAAAACATGAACAAAACCAGACTGAATTTGTTGTCATCATGTCAATAGGTTTGATTATCAGGCTCTTGATTTGGAATTGGAATTGCTTTGTTTTATTTTGAAAAGATATATTGTTTTGTGTCACTTCCTGTGTTTTGTTTTCGCCTTCTTCCCACCGCAGCTGGCTCTGATTGGTCCATGGGCAGCAGGTGAACAGGTGTGATGAAATGTAATTCCTTCATTCATCATTCAGCAGCTTCACTTTGTGTTCACAGCCGTCGGGTCCAACCAGTGATGGAAGGTTAGACTGTTTAAGTTCTGGTCCTGCTGTCTGATCCTGGTTCTGCTGTCTGATCCTGGTTCTGCTGTCTGATCCTGGTTCTGCTGTCTGATCCTGGTTCTACTGTCTGCTCCTGGTCTTGCTGTCTGATCCTGGTTCTGCTGTCTGATCCTGGTTCTACCGTCTGATCCTGGTCCTGCTGTCTGATCCTGGTTCTACTGTCTGATCCTGGTCCTGCTGTCTGATCCTGGTCTTGCTGTCTGATCCTGGTTCTGCTGTCTGATCCTGGTTCTGCTGTCTGATCCTGGTTCTACTGTCTGATCCTGGTTCTGCTGTCTGATCCTGGTCCTGTTGTCTGATCCTGGTCCTGCTGTCTGATCCTGGTTCTACTGTCTGATCCTGGTCCTACTGTCTGATCCTGGTTCTGCTGTCTGATCCTAGTCCTACTGTCTGATCCTAGTCCTACTGTCTGATCCTGGTTCTGCTGTCTGATCCTGGTTCTGCTGTCTGATCCTGGTCCTACTGTCTGATCCTAGTCCTACTGTCTGATCCTAGTCCTACTGTCTGATCCTAGTCCTACTGTCTGATCCTAGTCCTGCTGTCTGATCCTGGTTCTGCTGTCTGATCCTGGTTCTGCTGTCTGATCCTGGTTCTGCTGTCTGATCCTGGTTCTGCTGTCTGATCCTGGT